CATCTCTCCAAAGAAGATGCACAGTTGGGAAATAAGCATATACAAAGATATTCCACTTCATATGTTATCAAGGAAATGAAAGCTTAAAAACAGGATGTCACTGAATTATTTTTTAAAGAAAGCAAAATCTGAAATACTGACCACAACAAATACTGGTAAGAAGGTGGAGCAATAGGAATTCTCACTCATTGTTGATGGGAATGAAAAATAGTACAGCCACTTTGGAAGATAGTGAGGTCATCTGTTACAACACTAAATATATTCTAATCATACAATTCAACAATCATGCTCCCTGGTATTTACCCAAAAGGATTTGAAAAATACGTCCATGAAAAAACCTGCACATTGACTGTTTATAGCAGCTTCATTCGTAATTCCCAGGACTTTGAAGTGAGTATGATGTTCCTCAGTAAGTAAACATAAATTGTGGTTATCCAGACAATGGAATATTATTTAGCACTTAAAAGAACTGAGGTGTCAAGGTGTGAAAACGCATGGAATGCATATAAATTACTAAGTGAAGAAGGTAATTTGAGAAGCCAACATATCTATGATTGCATTGTATGATGCTGTGGAAAAAGCAAAAACTATGGAAACGGCTAAAATATCAGTGGCTGTCAGAGTCTGATGAAAGGAAGAAATCAATATCAGAGTACAAAGGATTTTTAGGGCAGTGAAAATATTCCCTATGATAGTGATGTATAAATGTCATATCCATGTGTCTAAAGCTATATAATGCACACCACCAAGAATGAAAACCCTAACTGGGGTAATTTAGGGTGGTTATTGAGTGCTGATGTTGTTTCATCCTTGATTTAAAAAAAAAGTGCTTCGGGCCTCCTGGTGGTGCAGCGGTTGAGCGCTGGGTTGCAAAGCTGCCCGCAACCTCTGCAGCGCTGGTTCGATCCCCAGCTGCTCCGCGGCCTCCAAAGGAGGGTTCCACACAGTGTGCAGACCTCTCCTGCCACCCGCTGCTCCCCTCAGCAGTGTACTTAGGTCCTTCTGCCTGTTCTGCTCCCCACTCTGGCTCTGGTGAATTCTCTCACCCTCCTGTGCTTCTGACTGTACCCAGTGCTTGTACAAATAAATAAATCTTTAAAAAAAAAAAAAGCTTCATTCTGTTGAGTAATGTTGATAAGGGAGGAGGCTATGTGTGTGAGGCAGGGAAGAAATATATGTGCTATCTCTGTACCTTCCCGCCAATTTTACTATAAACCAAATGGACCTAGAAAATAATAATAATAAAGTCTTTAACAAAAGAAAAATGAAACAGAAATCATCTTGCAAAAAAAAAATCCCTGAAATATAATTTGGGTACTTAAAAAATGTGGGGGATGATCTTGCATCAGTACTAATAAGTATTTTTTATTCAGCCTACATGTTCTGATTCAACAAGGCTGCATTACTTCCTGAAGTCAAGGACAGACCAAACACTTAGAGAACCAATTTGTCAGAAGCATATCATCTCTGCTCATCCTTGAAATTTTCACGATTTTGCTGTAATAGAATTTGAATTCCCGAGTGAAAATTAGTAGACATTTGTAATACTTTAACACATAGCTTTCAAATTTTTTTCAATGAGTGATTTTGTAAACACTCCTGTCAGTGTTGGCCTGGGTAAATCACCAAGCATGGGCTGATCCCCATATATTACTGGTTGAAATATCACATTCACCAATTTGATAGGGCAAAGTATTTTCTCTTTGGTTTTTAGGATGTGTAGTGGAAGCCATGAAGCCCCACTTCTTGGGTTTTTCTTCAAAAAAGAACTTGTCTAAGAGTGCAGTTAGCTGGCACCTTCAGCTGAAGCATCCTCAGAATGGCCTTTAGGAGCCAAGCTGAGGTCCTTCTCTTCCTAGAAATATCCGCGTCAAAAACTGGACATGCTGGATTGCATTAAAGTTTGGCCATGTGTGCAACATGAGACTCCTTTGAAAATAAATCTTTGCTCAGACACCTGTGTGGGTTTGGCAAAGACGCTGTCAAATCTGCATGACCTTATCTTGCCTCCTCTGCTCGGCTCCTGAACTGGTATCAGGTCTGCATTATGGCATGGAGGGTTTCCCTGCTTAATCCTCCTTCATGCCTGGTATGGACTGAATAGTTGGGTCATACTCCACACCCCATCAAAGAACAATCATGTTGAACTCTAATTCCCAATATGATAGTATTTGGAGGTGGGGGGGTTGAGATGTAATTAGATCGTGAAGGTAAAACCCTTATAAATAGTAGTAGTGACCATATTTTAAAAAGGAAAGAAAAAATACCAAAGAGCAAGGTTGCTCACTCTACCCTGTGAGGATAGGAATCAATTATCTGTAGCCAGAAGAGGACCCTCACTCAAACCTGACAGTGCTGAGACTACCTCTCAGACTTCCAGTCCTCAGAACTGTGAGAAATAAATATATTTCTTATAAGCCACCCAGCTTCTGGAATTTTGTTATGGTTGTAAGAACTGACAAAGTGTTTCTTTTATCTCTCACTGTCATTAACCTCACTCTCCTAACTCTTAGCGTCTATTGTCCAGAGAACCCAACTGATACATCTTTTGGTGACAGGAGATGATCTTTGTTTTCCATTTGCTAGCAAAATCAAAAGAACCAAGTACTCATGAGGCTTTGTGTATCTTTTCCTATATTTTTAAAATACAAAATATTAATCTGTTTCTGCAAAGCACTTACACCCTCCTCGACCACACACACACAAATACATTCATTCCGGTACCAAAAAATGTTTAGATAGAATAAGTCTCAGAAATACAGTCACATTTAGATTCTATGGGAACAACTAACACTCCATTTTCATTTGAACACACTCAAGTGTAATTATGTAGGCACTGACACAAAAATGTTTACATTTCACCCATACATATTTATGATTCAACTGGAGTTCTTAGACTTCTGCTTTGCCGATTATTGATTTTAGCCTCTATTTCTTTCTGTATTATGTCTACCCTCGTTAAAAACCTCAATTTCCCTCAACCAATGTTTATTAAGCAACTACTCTCTATATTCTCTAAGTTTATTTATCACCATTTCATTTTTTCACAATAATACCAGAATAAACTTTCTAAAATATAAAGCAAATAATTTTGTATCTGTCAAATGGCAATGAAAAAGCCAAAATGAGGACATGCTGAGAGAGAGGGACTCATTATACCTGGCAAAAATGTAAATATTAAATATCATTGGCAACATTAAATTAAGCAAATGGCAGTACGTCAACGAGACTTAAAATTGCCCAAATCCTCTGACCTAGTTGGGGTCTTTCATTAGCTACACCTCACGGTGATTTATTCTGAAGATACAAATTATTTAAAGGGCATCACCTTGTTTCCTTGTATTTATGTTGAAAAAGATCTGCCTTCTAAATGGATTATGAAATACTTGCAGACTGAGATTACCCTTTATGAATTTTTCTCTTCATATTTAATTCAGTGCCTGACCCACAATGAATGTCGAAAGGATATTTTCTGGATCAATATCTATATTACATTGGGAATGGTGAGCAAAAAGATCCAAGTAAACAAACAGGCGAGAAGGAAAGGAAAATCTATGTAATTCCACCAAAGCAATCAACATATTTTGGTTTTATAGATGTCCTTGCATCATAATCATAGTCTATGAAAGTGAACTTCAAAGATATCTGCCAGGGGTAGATATCAGCCCCAACTCTGTCAGGGTGACCTTGGCTAAGTACTAGGACATCTCCAATATTTTTTGCTCCCTCAAAATCTGGAGCTGGCTACCTCCCCTGTCACTGTCTTAGCATCATCAAGGATCCCAAATGAGATGAAGCTGATGACAGACTTCCTAATTCGCTGAGGAAGAATATGTAATTATACCTCTAATTAATGTATTTTAAAAGAGTTCTTTCCTGTTTCCAAATCTAAATTCAATTTTAAGCCATGACCTATTTATGTATAAATGTACTTTTACTCACTTTTAAATGCATGAAGATTTTACTCTTTGAATTAAAAAACAGCAAGGAGAAGCTTTAAATTTTTAATTTAATTAATAATTGACTTAATGGTAAGACATGGAAATTTATCTCAATAATGCTGAAAACTCATGAATCAAAGAAATGATATCTATATGTGTATATGCCCATGTATCAAATTTTCTCTTTGGAAAATTTGCAGATACCACCACCAGATACAGAAGAGCAATACATAGGAAAGACCTTTTTTATAAAATTTTTTAAATGTGTTAACAAAAAATCTCAGAGGATTATAAAATCTCTGACAAAATGACTTTCTTCTATTAATAGATCATTAAAATCAGACAAAAAATATATATCTTCATTCCAAAAACTATGTTTTTATGAAGCGTTTTTTCAAATTAATTTTTAAAGGTTTTTTTAATTACTTTGTGGTTTCTAAAATCTACTACTAGACTCAGGATATTGACTGGGTTTAATATTGGCAATAATAATAATAAAGAGCTCTAGTGGATAGAGACCAGTACCCTATTTCACAAATGAGAATGTTAATACCAAATGTAACAATATCCATTTTAGGGGCATCACCATCACGTACCATGCACCGAGTGTGTGGTATTTATTGCTTCATCTGTTCTTCATCCTAACACTGAGGTAGGTTCCATACCCACTTCATAGATGTGGGAATTGAAACTTAGAAAGATTTATAAATATTGCTTGCCAAGCATCACACAGTCAATAAGTAGCTGAATTTATTCCTAAATCTGATATTTAAGTCTGGCTGACATGTAAGTACACTTTTCCCCCAAGATGGAATCCGGTGCCAGGCCATCTGTTAAATAGGTGATATTCGACAAAGGATCTGCCATTTGTTTTAATCAGTCTCAAAATGATTGTTTGGCTTTTCATGTACCTTACATTGCACAGGAACAACACGTTTAAATATTATTGATATAGGCAGTGAAGTATTTAACTATAACATGTCATAATCCAAATCCCAAGAAAAGTGTTTCCCTGAAGCCATAACACGGTAAAAAGAATTCAAAATTTAGGCCACAAACCTGTTTCAGGTTCAATGGAAAAATAAGGTTGCCCTTCCAAGATACTATAAACCAACTTTGCACTGTTTCCATAAACTGGGTCATCAGCATCAGTAGCTGTTACATTAGTGACAGACGTACCTAAAAATAAAAGGGGAGGGGGAGAGAGAAAGAGAGAGAGAAAGAGAGAGAGAAAAAGAGAGAGAGAGAGAGAAAATCATTAACACATTATTCTTTGCCAAGGGCTAAATTTTGCCAAGCATATCATATAGAAACCCATGTGTGGGAATAAAGAGGAAGAGAAATCTTTTTAAAAATATGGAGATAAACTACTCTGTCATGGGTTTCAACAATATCCAAATCTTTTAAGAGTACTGCTAGTTATAGTGCTATAGAAAGAGGGGCCTTTTAGAATCTGTATTATTTAAGATTCCTTTGTCATTTTCATGTTAAAGATAGCTATCAGATTCACATGGACTGGGAGAAAAATGCAAAGGAAACATATCAAAGGAATGTGAAACATAAGGTGAATAATATGATGTAACAGGTAGCATTTAAGTCTTATAAAAAGCATAACTGAATGTACCTGGAAAAAACTGGCTGCTGAGGAAAACTATCTGGAAATATCAAAGGAATATTTTATCTCACCTAATTGAATTTCACAGAATATGAAATTAGATTGGGACCACCGATTAATCAGCATGTTTAGGTAATTAGGTTTTATGGATAACAGAATCAAAACCTTTTTTTATTCAGATTAATTTTCCATTTTTTAATTCACTTATTCATTCAGCAATTGAACACAGACAGCTCGCCTGATATGAGCTACATATACATGGAGAGAGACATAATCTATACTCCAGAAGCTTCCAGTTTTTTTTAAATCACTCTTCTCATTTTATTTGTTTCATTTTCTTTTTTCTGGAGGTAACATTGGTTTAAAACATCATGATTTAGAGGGACAGGATCACACCCATCATCAGGTGTATGTTACAACACCAACCCCACCAGTTAGGCACTGATATAGCTTGATGGTGGGAGTAAGATGTAAGATCAGAAAAATACTCATAGAAATTTAGCTGCATGCAATAGTGCAAGTTTGGATCCCTTACTTAGCCCAGCAAACAGGGAAAGCTCTCTGAGACAGGAAACATTTGAGTGAAATTATAGACAAAGGTAGAGTTTAACCAGGAAAAGAAGGGCAGGGAAGGATTCTAAGCAGTAAATCCAGCATAAGTCAAGGCAAAATAGCATGAGAAATTCTGGGAAATGCTTAAACTGGAGAGAATTCAGAGAACTGTGTTGTCATAACAAGGACCATGTTCTTTGTGGGTCATGTCTTTTTCAGCCAGTAAGTGTTGGACACCCTGTTTGACCCAAACACACCCACCCCACACATACATACAGGGGTCCTGCTGTTTTTCAGAACCTGTTTAGATTTGTTTTCGCAATGAAGGCATTTCTTCATTTGAATCACCCACTGGAAGGTAATTTTGGGGATGATGGGAATTTTGGACTGTTTGTTCACACTTGTTATTTCAGTGCCAAGGAAGTGACTAGAATTGAATGCTCATTAACATAATACTGAGGGACTTCCCTGGTGGTGCAGGGGCTGAAGTCTCAGCACTATCAAGCTATTGCCAGCCACTGTGGCATGAGTTTGATCCCTGGCCAGGGAACTGACCCACATGGCACAGCAGACCTCTCCTGTTTGCCCGCTGCTCCCCTCAGCCTTGTATTTCAGTAGATCTGCCTGTTCTGCTCCTCACTCTGTCTCTGGTGAATCCTCTCACCCCCAATCACCACCTCTGGCCTGTACCCTAGTTCTTCTATAACTAAAAATAAATCTTTTTTTTTTTTTTAAAAGCAATAATGCTGAGTTTAGGTCTTGACTGTAGTTTCCTGATAATGTGTTACTTCATAATGGAGAAAGGCTTCTCTTCTAAAAAAAAAAATCAAGGTAAACCCAGAAGACAACAAAACAAAGCAAAAAAGAAAAAAAAGTCTTGTTCAGCTCTGAACACTGTCAGTTCTTTCCAAGACTCTTCTATTGTTTTCTTTTTGATTCTTTTTTCTTGAACTTTTTGAACTAACTTTACAGAAAAGAGTTGCAAAAATAGGTCATGTATACCCCTCACTCAGTTTACAAGCTCAATTTCTTATCTGAGATAAACTTAGCATGAGCTAAGTTTCAATTTCAAAACTAGAAATTTAAGATTGATAGCCATTTGTATTGTCATTAGCCAATATTTCTACTTATCACTTCTTAACTGGATTACTACAGTAAATTCAGCATTAGTCTGATCTCCGCATCTATTTCTCTGCCTCTCATAAATCTGAGAGGACTAAAAAAGAGAAAACTCAGGATAGTAGACCAGATAGACCCACTCTGGTCTCTAATGGAAATATCTTTTCTGTTTCCTATAAGGTAAAGCCAACACTTTTAGCTCATCATTCAGACACCCCCTGTTTTGTTCTCAGCTTGTCTCTCCAACCTTAGGTTTGACATACAACTTTTCTTGTTATCACCCCTCTTAAAAATTTTTGGGGCACATTTATCTCACTATCTTCCTCTCACATGGAAGATTTTTAATCCAATTCTTCGCCATCCCACACAATATTCAAATAACTACAAATATTGTACTTTCCTGTGCTCATTTTCACTAGCTAGATAATAAGTTATTTGAGAAAGTCAGTCTTAATTTCTTTTTTTTATTTTGTTCCCAGTATCTGCACATCTGACATTCAGTGCATTTTTTTTTTTTTCTAGCCGACATTCAGGGTAGATTTTGTAGAACTTCTGAGTCATCATTCTGAGTAGAAATTCCAATTTTAGAGGACCATCACCACTCGACAAATATTATTGTTACATTTTCCTGCATAGTGACCATATTGCAAAATATCTACCTTCTTTTAGCAGACACAGGACTCTTATATGGTGCTCATATCACTCCCATGCCCTGTGGGTTTGGAACATTGACCCCCAACTGCTAGGGGTGTTGCTTATTGACAGCTCAGGACTGAGAGTCACTGAAGAGGGCTGCTGGTCCACGGCCAGGCTCTATTCTCAGAGGGTGTCCCACACCTGATAACTGGGCTGTGCTGGGTATAAAGACCTGGCCTGATTTCCTCAGTGTCTATTCCAGCTGAGAGCCCCCAGGAAAGTCCCTCAGCATTATGTTAATGAGCATTGAATTCTAGTCACTTCCTCAGCACTGAATCTAAGAAATGTGAACAAACAATCCAAAATTCCCATCATCACCAAAATTATCTTCCAGTGAGCAACTCAAATTAAGAAATGCCTTGATCAAGAAAAAAAATCTAAACAGATTCTGAACAATGATAAGACCTCCTATAAGTATGTGCAGGGTGGGTGTGTTTGGGTTAAGCAGGGTGGGTTATAATTTTGCAGATGGAATATTTCTAACCTACTCTGAAACATTTAGTCCTCCCTTTGGGCAAATCATTTAACCTGTCTTAGCTCCACATTTCAATTACAATTTATATTCAACTTATTGTGAGGGGTAAACAAAATAATATATGTAGGAGTCAGAAATAAACACATGCTAGGCTTTTGAGTACCAGCTCTGTCTACATATAAGAATTGAACTTTGAAAAATATTTAGATTCCTAGGGTCCCTTTCACTCCTCTGGGATGGCAAATGGGGATGGTGCTGGAGTATTCTATAAAATCTTCTCAGGGGCCTCCAAGGTGGCACAAGGGGTTAAGCACTGCACTATAAAGCAATCTGCAGCCTCTGCAGCACGAGTTCAATCCCTGGCCGGCCAGAGTGCAATCCACATGGTGAAGCAGACCTCTCCAATCTCGCCTGTTGCTCCTCTCAGCAGTATATTTCAGTTAGTCTGCCTATTATGTTCCCTACTTTCTGGTGAATCCTCTCACTCCCCACATTTATGGCCTGTACCCCAGCTCTTGTATGCATAAATAAATCTTTAAAAAATTAAAAAACAAAATCATCTCAGGCCATAGTTCAGAAACCTCATGAGGACAATGGAATTTTTCAAATTCAATCTTCTCCATATAAGCATTAATTTCTAATATTTTCAAATTTGTTTATAAAGCAAAGCATTTTTATTTTTTAATTTTTTTGCATAGAAGAACTGAGGTGTAGGCCAGAGGTGTGGGGGAGGGGGGAGCAATAGTGATGAGAGGATTCACCAGAGACAGAGTGGGGAGCAGAACAGGCGGCTCTACTGAAATACACTGCTGAGGGCAACAGCAGGTGAGACAGGAGAGGTCTGCTGCACCATGTGGGTAACTCCCTGGCCGGGGATCAAAGTCAGGCCTTAGTGGTGACAGGGCTGAGACTTAACCCCTAGGACATTGGGGAAGGCCAAGTGAAGCATTTTCTGAATCTATCACACAGCATTAAGAATCATAGTGATGATTTCTTGCTAAATGGAAGTTGGGGATTTTTCCATGGCAATTTACTGTTACAAAACCGATGATGATTATGTCTATTTTTACTGATTACTATAACTTGCTGTCACCTTAGTATGAGAGGTACTTCATCATATTGCCAACACTGAAACAGGAGTAAGGACAGAGTCCCATCATTTACGTGCTTTGTGTGATTCAGCGTTTTCACATGCAAAGACAAACATTTTTTATCTATGAACCCCAAAGTTTTTGTGAGGTTGAAATGAAATAAATTAAGATAAAATAGAAAAGTGCCTGAGAAGATAAATTTGGAGCCCAACTCTCTTGAACCAGAACAATTTATTTACATTCCATTCCCAACTTTTACTAGTTTTGTGTCTTTGGCCAAGTAACAAAACTTTTCTAAACTTCACTTTCTTAATTTGTAAAAGAAAGGTGATAACAAATGCTACATCCTAGGATGCTGAGACAATTAATTTACGCAAATAATACAGAAGAATTATTGAGGTGCTATATCTGAGAGCTGTCACCATTATTATATGGTCATTATGTGTATGTACATGAGAGACTAAATAATAAACGAGCTTTGGGCCTCCCTGGTGGTGCAGGAGGTTGAGCGCAGTGCTGTGAAGCTGTCCATAGACTCTGCAGTGTGGGTTTGATCCTGGCCAGCCAGGGAGATACCCACATGGTGCGGCAGACCTCTCCTGTCTTCCCACTGCTCCCCTTGGCAGTGTAT